AATGTCATCGTCTGGCCAAATCCAGTTACAGCAGCAACGAGGAAGCTGTTTAAGACAATCACACGCCCACAGTCTCTGCTTTACGTGAGACGTCTCAGCAGGCTTAAAGCAAAGTAAAGAAAAATGCTTCTTTTTATCAGGCGACTGGTTCAGCTGCAGATTCGCGTCGATGAAACGTCCGAGCCAGAAACAAGAGATTAGTGACTTTTTTTCAACCTCCTGTCTTGTTCATTATTGCACGGATCAGTGTTCTGCTGCTCATGTGAAACCCGTGTTTGGAGCTTCCTTTCAACACACACACGCACACACACACACACACACACACACTCACACTCACACACACACTCACACACACACACACTCACACTCACACACACACACACACACTCACACACACACACGCTGAGAGGCTGTAAGTGGAAAGGAATGAGTGGAGAAATGCATCATGAACGGCTGAGATGATGCTGCTCGCAGATTTATGAGCCGAGATCGTGTTTCAGCCCCTGAAGAGCATATTTAGTCTACGTCCACTCTGTCACATCCACACCTCGTTTATGTGGTTTACTTGTGAAATTTGTCTTTGTGCAAAACTCGAGTGATAAAAACATTCCTGGGATTTTCTTTTCCTTAGTTTTTCACTGAGGCTTTGCAGCAGTGATGGGATAGTGTCCGCTACATTCATCTGAAACAGATTTTAGTTGTTGCAGAGTTACTGTAAAAACTTGCAAACGACAAAAGTGCAAAGGTCAAGGAAACAGGTTTTATCTACGTTATGGAAAAGTGCGGTTAAAATGTCTGCAGGACATCTGTAAATCTAGTTCCTTTTATTAAAGACGCCTTGATTATAGTTGAGCAACAGCTCGTCTGGATTTATGCTTTTAATGGGCACGAAACAAACGACATGTTACAAAATGAAGTATGAAGTCTGAGCCCAAATATTAAATTATTAATTGTGCAACATGAAGAAAATGATTAAAAACATTAGGGTTGTGTGTGTTTTTCTTATAATCCATCAGAAGTTCTTGTGTTTCTGTCCGGCTGCAGGCGTGGATCGCTCGGTGCAGACTAACTCCTGACATAAACACAAAGCCGCTCGCACTTCCAGGTGTCACAACTCGAGCACGAAATGACATCGGACACTTTTTATGGAAGTTCAGTCTTATAAAGTTTATTGACGTGAGGGAAACATCGACATCGTGTTTAAATACTCGACACAAATAAAGTTATTCAAACATGCGTGTGAAATATTCGACACTGTACAGAAATATCACACCGTCTGTTTTGCGATGCAGTGCTCGTGTTTACATTTGACCCAAAAACCACAGCTGAAGCTGATCTCTGCTGAGACGTGTTTGTAGTGCAACAAAGGACACCTCGTGGATTTCAGTGGAATGCTCGACTTATGGCGGGCGTGGGCCGTTTCAGGATGGCCTCCACGGAGAAGGACAGAGACTCGCTGGGCGCCGTCTTGGTCCCTACAGGCTTGGACAGGAAGTCTTTGGCGTACCTGTCTGTGAGTTTTACCGCCTGAAAGTCTTTGGCGGCGCTCTCCCTGTACTTGCGCGCCGCCTCCTCTAACAGCTCCTTGCAGTACGGCGCTCTGAGCTCCGACCCGCCGCTGGCTTTTTCACTCAGCGAGTGCTGGATGAGGGAGTGGAAGGAGTTGAGTTTCATGGAAGGCTTAGCGTTGTCCTTGCTCAGCTTGTTGAGGACTTGGCTGGAGTTCTGGGAATGCGGGCGGTTAGGGAAAGATTGTCCAAAGCTCCTCTTGGGAGGAGAGAAGGCCGAGCACTCCCTCTGCTCCCCCTGGGTGACGGCAGGTTTGGGATCGGGCCTCTGAGGGTCTGATAAGTCCTGCAGAGCGGCGGCTCGGGATCCCTCCAGTTTAGCGGCGAGCAGCGCGGCCTCCTGCTCTGGCGGCTGACTCTCAGCGGGCATCGCTTTGGGCTCCCACACAGCACCGGGCTTCATGTTCTGCACCGCCGTGGCGTTGAACAGGCACTGCTGGTACAGAAGAGCGTCTCCCAGGTTGGCCGCGCCACGGGGCCACATCACGAAGCCGCCTCGCGACGGCTGCAGCGGGTAATGGCGG